TCCGTCCTCCCGAAAAAAACAATCGCGCGTGCGCTACCGGAGGCGTGTCTTACGGTCAGGTGTCTGCATCACGGACAAATTTTACGGGAGCGAATTCGTCGTCATCGTATAACAATGCGTTAACGAAAAAGGTCGAGTACATGAACGTGTGGTGCGCGTAGCGACGGCTCCAGACGCTTCTGACCTTGGGTCGTACTAGGTTTTTCACAATATTTCTAAAAATGTTTCATAGTAAGAAAAAAAAATTCATCCCGGCGCCATTGAATTTCCAACCAGTCCAATCCGCCCTTTCAGTGCTCTTCAAACCTCTTACGGGGCTTGCCCCGTTCTCGTGGTCTCCCGTCGGTCCGTTCTCGGCCGTGCTCACGTGTCGCACCGCTCCGCGCCGTTTTCGTTTGTGACCCCGGAGTACGCCATAAAACCGAAATTCGTATTTTCTGAATGTTTTTCCCGCGAACTGCGAACCGTTACATAAGTCGTGTGAATTTGTGTGCACAAACAGGCAGGGGCAAGAAGCAAAAGTACGCGCAGTCCATCCTGCTGGCCGGATGGGTGACCGGGGCCATGTTGCTCGCGCTCGGCATGAAGACGATCGCCGTGCTCGCGGGCAAGGCGCTGATGACGGCGCTCATGTCGCTGCTCCTGTCCGCGCTGGCGTCGTTCCGGGGCGGCGGTCACTCCGAGCCCAAGAGCACCACGTACGAGATCGTCACCAAACCGGTGTACACGCACTCGCACTCCAACGCCGTGGAAGACGTGCACGCCGCGGCCACGCAGAACAGCCCCACGTACAGGCGGTCGATAGGCGGCGGCGCCGCCGCGGCCGTCGGCATCCAGCACGTGCCGGTCTCGTCGTCCGAGGAGGGTGTCGACCACGTCGTGTACCGCATACACGCGTCCGATAAGACGCCCATTTACATTCCCATCGAGCACCGCCGCCGCCGCCGCTGAGTCTGATACGCCGCCGTCGTTTCTAACCGATCGGTTTGGTCGGCCGTCGCCGTCAGCTTTATTATCATTATTATTATTATTATTATTATTACTGTTACTGTTATTATTTATACGGTCGACGTTTTTATTTATTATAATTTATCATTGTACTATTTATTTACGCGTTATCACGCGCGACGTAAGCTTGCGGAAAAACGATAATAAAACAACATGTCTGTTTAAAAAAAAAAAACCCCTACTCATATTTTTATAACCGGCGCTCCAAAGCGTTACGGTTGTAACGTTAAACGGTTCGAAAAAACCGATCGAATAATTGACACAGTAAACTGTGTTGTTCGCCTTCGTCCCGACTTTTTGAGATCGGCCGCCCTCTTTCTAAATGTCCACTTCACCCTACTCGCAGACGCCGGCCGTCTTCGATCGCATCCAACCACTTCGTTTTCGGCCTTCCTCTCCGCCTGTTCGCTCTCACGTTTATTTCCATTTAAATTTTTATACTGCTTCAGATTTCTCACTCTCCGTGACACGCCCAAACCGTCTCGGTCTATTTTTTCTCATTCCGTCTACTATCGAAACCACGCCTAGGCTACCACCCCTTGTGCATTCATCCCTAATCCTTCATCGTCACTTCGCATCCACTTCGGTCAACAGACAATAAATGCAAATATTATTAATGACTGTACAGTACGATAAATTTAAAATACAATGTTTAAACGAAACTGTTAAATTGGTCGAATAAACGGTTAAACAACCGGATTTTTGTTATTGTACTTATATAAGAATGTGGATTCGGAGCGAACTCGTCTCGATAGGAAAAAAACTATTTTAATTTATCACTATGGCGTATTAAATGATGTTTACAAAAAAAAAAAAAACAAGTAATTTACTTTATAAATATCTGAATTCGTTAAATTTAAGTTTAAAGTGTAAGTGGTTTCTGTTTAAAATAACGGGTTTAACGCGGTTCGATGAATTTAATTGTTTAAAACAGTGTTTTATACCATGCATGTCAATAGCACTTGTAACAACTCGATTGTAGAAAGCACTCGAATAAATACATTTCAAACTCATGTCTGTCGGTATTATAATTTTATCTATATTTTCCTCTTCTTGTTGATAATCCCGAGATCAGTGTTTGTATCGCAGCTCTCCGTATCTCCCCGTTGTAGTTTACGTTACGGACTCTGTCCTCCACGTGTGTAAGTTTGTTAATTTACAAATGGACAATTCGACGCGACTAAATGTGAAATCGGTCGTCGCATCAGGTGTACGCGCGTAAGGCCCATTAATACGGGTGTGGTGAACCGACCACGTGCCACCAGTAGACGACGGCTGCAGCGTCCGCCACCACCTACGGGGACCCGGTCGAGGCGACAAACGTGCATAAGGAGACCGCGATCACCGCCAAGAGAGTTCGGTCAGCTCTCGGGACGACGGAGGGTATACCTGCACCACCACCGACGCACGGGAAGGAGGAGCACCGGCATCTCGACGCCAACCCGTTGTTCAGCCATTTCTGCGGCGTATTTAAAAACCGATAAACACAACCGGGTCTGGTGTCGCAACGGCGTTTGCCCATAATTATTAGTTAGTTCTAATTATAACTAGGTTTCCCACTTCCGAAACTGGGCAAACGTCTCATCTTTAGTAACTGAGTAAGTGTTACAGGTAATTTCTTAAATTAAGTAACTTAGTTAAGAGTTACGAGTTCCTAAATAAAAGAAGCGACTCGTTAAAACTGCTTCGAGTTATACGATAAAAGTTACTTTAAATTTATTTCCTAATTGGTCTTTACTTTTTTTTTTTTTTTATAGATAATATAACTTTCAGGAATCGATATTAGAAACGGATTTTCCATAGTAATAGGACGTTATCGAAATATTATCACATTATACTTTTTTGCTGGCTATCGTTGTATTTTCGTGTCAATACGCTCAGGAAAAAAAAAATCTTAGTTGCAAAATATAATTGCAAAAATAATTGTCATGCTTATAATATCTCAGTTCATTTCCATTGTCCTTTATTCATCTAGGGTATCACAAATTTTACCGGTACCGGTATATTATTGAACATTCTTACAATTCGGTATGTAAACATCGGGAGTACTCCATATTATTTTATTATTCCATATTATTATTGTTCTCGTGACACCTTTCAAATTATCAAACATAAAAATATGTATCTACCTGCGAAATTCCCGCGTACGGGTCATTATGATACTAATTCGCATTAAGTAGTTTTCATACTAATCCGTTTTACTCGTCACGCCGACCGTTAATGGGACGCACGTGCATGCGGATCTGACGCGGTCGAAAATAAATTGCAGTTCATAATTTCGGACGAGTGGCTACGTGTCCATTGTACCGGTACCTAACATAATATGTTCAGAGAACAAAAACCGCAGCACACTTTATCGCCAGCGCGCGAACGAGACAGATGCCCCGCTGGAATCCGTCCATATTGTATGCAATTCAATATAAGGTAATGATAGTGTCGCACATTTTATTATTATAGGTAGCTGCGCCCCGTTATTATTGTAATCCGTTTTCATAACCGACCGCGAGAAATGTATTTAATCAAACCGCCTATCTTTAACGAAGTCCTTTGCGCATTTACGCCGTTTGTTTGATCTGTAGAAATAATAAATTCATATGCGTGCGTGACAAATTCAAACTCCAGCATTTACTATGCTTCCATAAACGGATTTTTTAACGAATTCTCATACAGTTTTCTATTAGGGGAAAACACATTGAAAGTTTGAAATACCGTCAGCTTGTCTGGGAAATAGATGCCCAACGATTCCCCGTGTAAAAGCATGGTGAATATTGTCTTTTTTAATTCGGTGAAATAATTTTTGTTTTATGTCAATTCGATCGTGAGTACTATTGTAAATACGAAAATATATGTTTTCTATATTGCCCATTAGACTTATTGACTGAGACGACATACGAGGGTTGTCCCAAAAGTAATGCACAGCGCGCTCTAGCTGTCTTGCAATGTGATATTATCAGCTGATTTTAGTATCGGTTTGTAGCTTGAAGTCTAACGAACACGTGCGTTTTCAGTTTAAGTTGTTTTAGTAAAGTATGATGATGTGTGAGAGCGATAACGAAAGTGAGAACAATTCGCCGGCTCACATATCTGTTTTTGAGCAACGCGCATACATTAAAACCGAAACGATTATTGGTAAAACAGTGCCTGAAATTCATGCCGCGTTAAATGAAGTGTGTGGAACGGATACTGTGGATCGTAGTACGGTGCAAAGATGGCATCAGCGATTCCGTGATGGTCGTATAAGTATTGATAACAACCCTCGCTCTGGCCGACCCTCTACGGTTACTCAAGACAACACTAACGNAGAGAATGAAACAGGTATTTCAAAATCAAGTGTTCCGTACCAGAAATCCGTAAAAAGCGACCAGGAATGTTACAAAATGGTGTGTCCATATTGCACGATAATGCGCGGCCGCATATCGGAGCACCAGTCGTCGCTCTTTTGGAGAAATATGGATGGGAACGCCTCAAACACCCACCGTATTCGCCGGATTTAAGTCCCCCGGACTTTGATTTATTTCCAAAACTGAAGGAACCACTTAGAGGGATCCGTTTTCCCAACTTAGATATACTAAATGAAGAAGTGAGCCGAAGGATCCGTGAACTCAACAAAGATGGAAATCGTGTATAGACAAGCAGGGAGATTATATCGAAGGTCTATAATATTGTATTTAGTTTAAAATAAAAACGTATTTATTCAGAGCAAATTGTGCATTACTTTTGGGACAACTCTCGTATATTACTGCATGTAACACCAACTTAAAAACTGTAAAAAAAAAAACACAAAAAATCACCTTTCTAACTTATCAATTATGATGTACAGTTTGATCAGAATCAATTGTCAGAATGTTTTGAAGATGTTACCATTTCAAGGAATTGCTAATATAAGTATTCTTTGAAAATGTTATGCCATTATAAATACTTTAAACTAAATTACAATAAAAAAAAGTCGGTACACTTTGCATGACGAACGGGCCATTGTTGTAGGTGAGAAGTTGAGAATATAGGAAAAGAGATTAATTTAAATTATATCTGTACGCAATGATAAACGATTCGGAGCAAAGGTTCTTTTATATATGTGTGTACATTTTGCCGTTTTACCAACGATTATCCCGGTTTTCGCAACTATTATGAAAACCACTTGGAAAATCAAAAAATTACATTTTAAAATACCACCCGGATAAAATTTACTTTCAAAAAAGGTACTACATTTGAATTCAGAGCTAGAATTCTGGTAAAAAAAATAATTTACAGGAAAAAAAAATTAAAAAATAAACATTGTAAAACTAGTATATTACTCAAACGTATTGACGCTTTGAATCTAAAACTAGATCGAAATAATGAAACCTCTATTTCCGTAAAATTCTCTGTTTTCTTAAGTTTTCCCTACTTTTTTTTTTTTTTTGGCTTTTCGTGAAAACTATAATGAACATCAACGACCTCCCAATGCATCAACTCGATGCAATTTTTGTTCAAAAAAAAAATGTTACAATTTAATTTCTGCTTATTCTGCTTATTTCTGTTTATTCTTTAGTAATATATACATTAGATTAAATTAAATTCAATGATTATTCTATACTGTAGTTAATTTAAATTTACATAATACCTAACAAAAACAACTATAAATAATTTGATCAGTCTTATTAGTATTATTAGGTTAGGTTTTGGCATTTCCCGGTAAAAAATTCTGGTGAGAATAGTCGGGAATCTTTAGGAATACATAAGGATTGCCAAAAAATAATTTATGTTTGTTACATCAAACACAGTATTGTAAATAAATATAGAATATATGGTTTATAGGTAAAACTCAATATTGAAATACATAGATTTTAAATTGGAGTTTTGACCAGTACTAGTATTTTCTAATGGACTCACTGGACTGACAAATTGAAATTATCAATTTAATCAAACAAATTATTTAATATTCTTCAATAAATGATAAATATAAAATATATAACTAGAAAAATAATGTAAGTTCAAAACCATAGGTACCTATCATTAAAAGATTATGAATTTACAATCTATATTGTATTATATGTATTTGTTGGCTAGTTTTCTCAGATATTTTTAAACGTTATTATAAAATAAAAAAAGGATGGCATCCGTAAAAATCTATCTAGGTACTAAATTAAAACTGGACTTAATAAAAACCATCAGTCTTGTAAGTTTAGTTTAAAATTATACTAAATATACACACATTTATATGTGATGAAATTATACTTGTTAAAATGTCCACGGTGTCCAAAAAAAAAAACTCGAAGCAGTTTAATCAGACCACAATGTCAAACATGTGATCAAATATTAATCAATAAAACGAGGAGAATATTAATGACTAAGTCCAATCGGTATTAAATGTAAATCAAATTAAAACATCTAAAAATAATGTTAAACGACATTTTAAAAAAATAATGTGACTTTGTTTCTGTCACAGAACAACTTAATAAAATTATCAGAAGTATATGAATAAAATCATATCATATTGATTTACACAATAACTTGGTTAAATACTAACTACCAACTATTATGTGTGGACACTCCGAACAGAAGTAAAAAAGAATAAAAGAAGAGAGCTGATACTGAGGATGGGAGCGACAACTGTTGTAGGTGAGAAGTTGGGAAGGTAGGATACATAAGGTTATTTCATTTAAATCTGTAAGCAACGATAGGCCATTACTTGATGAAAGACGATTCCGAGCTCAGTTAGGAAAAATATAATTTGAAGTGCTGTAATTTTGTTTACGATTTTCGTTTAAATTTGATTTCAAAACGCTTATTAAAAAAAGTCGTCCGATGATTTTGGAAATTTGGCCACGTCTAGGTAAGTCTAATTTAAGTATTACTACCAAGTTTCAAGTCTCTACGAGTATTTATAACCGAATTACAGCAAAAAACTCCCAAAAATTAAAATTCCTTAAAAGCTCAAAAGTGGCTTAAAAGTTTTGACAATGTACCATGAGAAATTAAATCAAAAAGGTGTCTTGTGATTTTTCGATTAAATCATTTTTGTTCTGGTAGAAAACGTGGTTCGTGTTTTTATAAAATAATGAAATCGTGAAATTGTACGTTTTCCTACGGATTTTTACACTTAAATGCTTTTATTTAAAAAATGGCGCTGGAAATCAAAAAATGACCTCTCTAAAGTACAATCGAGACAACTTGAATATTCAGAAAATTTGCTACACGTAAAAATCGAAGCAAGTTTACTAGGAATAAACGTGTCCATACTAGAAACAAAAAAAAATAAACATCTTAGTAAAACCAATAGCTCCCTCGCTACGCTCGGAATCTAAAATACAAATATTTTTGTACTAGTGTCTCTTTTGTTTTAATCACGATTATATTTTCTTCGGAATCGCCTTTGAAATTTCAACAGTTCATAAGAGATTTGTGTTAAAAAAAATATTGCTAAAATTACTCTACTGTAAATGTATAAAATGTTTTGACATTTGACCTAACCTGACCTGCCGTTACAGTGATATTCGATTTTCAATAGGGATCGCAAAATCTGTGAAAAATGATTCATTCATATTATAAAGAAATTGAAATACGTATTATAATAAAATGATGTTAGAGTCAACAACTTTAAATTGTTTGTTCATTGAATCGTTTGCTTTAAGGGTCTAATTTAAGATGATAGACGATGTCGTACCCAAACGTATCAGATGAAATGACGACGTACGTACCCTGGTATCCAAATATTTGTCATTGACTGTAAGAAATTATTATGGTAAATTGAGTTTTGTCAAAATGACATAATAATTGTATTTCAATTTAATTGTTATCAAAATTAATTAAAAAATTAATTAGGGGATTGTGATTCATAAAAAGTTGAAAACTACGATTTCAGAAGATCGCGGATTGGACAAGCCGATAAAATACATAATAAAACTTACATTTTTACTGTCTTTACTAATATTAAAGTAAGCATGTTTCTTTTCGGAAACGTTCCCCGACATTTCCAGGAGGGCCAACCCTAGTATAGGTAAATTATAGTTCATTTATCTAATCCGAACATTAGCAATAACGAATAATATTTCAAGTACACAGAAATCAAATAAAAATTTAAAAAAAAAAAAAACCAAACATAATTTATAATCGGGCAGTTGGTAATTTATTATTAGTGATAACTAATTACTTAATAATATTTCAAGTCGTTTTTCGGATAATTATAATTGAGCGAGCGAACGTTTGAATATATTTTATACATCACCGATCGAGCGGGAAAAAAATTAATCGTATTCGGTTTTATGAGCTCGCCAAATTATGTACAGACGTTGGGAAACGCCAACGGATATAGTTTTACATAATAAAAACAAAAATTAACAAGTTTTTTTGTTCGTTTGTTGCGGGGTGAATTTCCGAGCCGATCTCAGTATCTCGTGACGGCCTCGGACTTTTTCTTGTTTGCTGACAAATCGTATTGGTTTGCGTGCACATTGTTGCCGTACTGTCCGTTCACGTTTCCTTTGGGACTGTAATTGGCCACCACGATTATTTTTCCCGACCTGCTGCGTGCTCTGCCGACTCCCAACTCTCTAGTATTGGACCACACGAGCTGCGTGAAAGGACCTGCGGGAAAGACCAAAAGTGATCTATATGTTTGTAATATACACACATTTTCGTTTAAGTTGTTGGATTTTATCCTTCGAGCGGCAAACAAACACTCGCCGTCACTGACATAGCCAGGATTTCTTAGTGGAGGGGGAGGAACGAACAAATTACAAATACCTAAAATTACACATTTGTCTGTTTACGTGAATTTTTTTAATTAAAATTAATCTTATACATTTGGACATTTTCATCACATCTAGAAATTATTCGGTGGATATTTCTGGCCTCTTCTAATTAATTCTAACAGAATTATAACAAAAGAGCAAAATTAAAAATAACAAAATGCGTTATTGCGTAAATATTCCTGTTTTCCGACATATTTTCCAAATTATCAAGAAAAATAAAAAAAAATTTCCCCAATATACCAACAACATTTTCTATCAAAAGTCACATCTGAACTTAATCGAAACAAAATTTCTGATAGAGTAATTGGTAATAAAAAAAAAACAAAATTCACATAGTTATAGCCATCAATTATTCCTCGCTTCACTCGGTACATGTTTACTGGTAACACTATGCCACTGCTCACTTCGCCTCCAACATTAAGGCTCTATATTTGTGCTCTCGTTTGTCTAATCGTCGAGTATTATATCTCTGCAGCTAATACGTCAGAAAATGTCTCCGCTATCCTCATGCTGTTATGAAGTTGAAACTCCCTCATATCTCGTGATGTCCTAGGTAAAAGTATCCGAGGAAAAATTAAAATATATTTAAATAATTTTCATATACTAATTAATTACAATTTTACATAGTAATAATAATCGTAAAAAAACTAAACATTAAAAGTTCTGGTATAAAATAAAAAAATTTAACAAAAAAGTTAAAATTGTAAACAAATATTATCAGTGGTCGACTGATAACATATGGTCGACTCAGAGGAAAATAAAACCAACAAATAATCAAATTTTAAAAATCGTAAAAATAATTAACCGAAAAAATTAAAAATTATATTATACGTAATATATTGTATTAACTAAAATGATATACACGTATAAATTTTTATTTTATTTTTCATATTTTAGACATTTTTTTTTTTTTTCGGAAATTTTTACCTAGAACCATTATTTGAAACTGTGGCACTGTTCGACAATTAATTTGTAAAATTATAATTGTTTTGTCTTGATTTATTGTCCGAAATAAATTGTTGTGTGCCCTTGTCCGATCAATTTTTAGTCCAACAGATGGCGGTTGTGGTACTATATTAAATATCTACCATGTAAAATAAACGATTGAATGTGACGTAGTAGTGTAGTACGACCTTTAGGAAACATTCCCCCTACAGACATTTTCTTATCGTTTCATTTCCGTTACACGATAATGATATTCGTTATTAGTATGCGGTCGCCAGTAACAATTCGTGTGAGAAAAAAAAATCTATTCGACTTAGTATATTTAAAATACGCAACATACAATCGCGTTAAAATTATTTTGAAAGGAATACCAAAACATAAAAAAAACAAAAACCAGCTCAAACGAAAAGCATATTATAATGCAATGTACGGGTTAGAGGATTTGGATTTTCGCCACGAGTCCGTGAATTGTATCGATCCAGAGCCTTCATACACGGACATGATTTCGAACGAAACACCAGTGAAGTGTAAAATTCCTTATGGCACTGCATGGACGATCGTCGCAACATAACATGAGAATAATTACCCGAGTTGATGTTGGCCGAGTACATTTTTGGATTCTTTCGCGGTTTGTATGCTTTTGAAGACGAATACCATTCCCGGACCACGTCTTTTCCTGAAACGATATTCGAAACCCTATTGAGCGTTATAAAGACCAAACGTTTACAATGTAATATTTGCCTTCGATTTCCGCTGTGGCATTTTGATCCGATCGCTTTTTGCAAAACAAATTTTGTCCGTAATTGATTTTGTTTTGATAGGCGAACGTCTCCGTGTGCGCCAAATGATTGGCCCAGTTTTGCGCTTCTTCGCACAACTAAAACACGAATATTAATGTTTTAATGTCAACTCTATAAATTGTTTGGAAAATACCTCACAATATTGTAAACGTATTACTCTAAATTACACGCGCGCGCGCGCACACACACACACACACACACACATACACACACACACACACACGAGTACTTTTTAAACTACTTTGGTCCCGGGAAAGACGTGCGTGCTTCAGTCAATTTCGTATTGTTTTCGATACCGGAAAATTAAATGTTGAAAATACATGGTTACACTTGTATGTAATGTTAATCAACACACTGATATGCTGAAAATACATACACACGTACGTATGTAATACAGACAAAAAACTATATGGAAAAAATTACAATTAACGAAATTACAGGAAAAAAAAAAAAACAAAAATTGCCATAAATAATAACTGGTATATTCCCCGGGAAACTCGGGGTACCAATCTTTATTCCCTTCCCTGAAACCAAAGATATATAGGCAAACAATAATACAGACGCGCGTTCGACGGGTCAGTACATTGATGTTGTTATTATTCGAAGAATTGTACTTCTTAAAAAAAATAAAGCTCTGTAAAAACTCTGTTCGTACGCCGTCGGGCGTATCGTAATAGAATTTATTCGTTTTGTTTGTTCTTTTTTTATAATTAATTACGTTAATTTTTTAAGGCCGTGGTTAACCGTGTGTTATACGTTTATTTATAGCGTAGGGCGTTGCTTCGGCGCGGTAATATTATAATATAATTGTGCGTGTCGTGTTAAATAATATCGTATTAAAACAATTATTATTAACCCCTAATAAAACAAATTTAGATGGAAAATTAAAGTAATTTTTTAATTAGGTGCAATATAGATTGTCATATCCCGGTATGATAAGCGATAGTAAGCATGCAATTTTTACCGCCCCGTGATAAATTTGTATTTTGTCCACATGAAGACTATAAATTAAACAATAAAGTTTTATAATATCCACGTAATATAGTTTTCTTAAGTGGTTTTCGTGAATTATTATTATATTGATAGCGTGCAAACAGTAGGTACATAGTCGCAATTCGTATTTTGAAGCGATTATTATTCAGTGCTGCAGTGACGTATATATTTACAGGGGGTGATATGGGTGGTATATCATCTCTATCCGTTGAACTTTACTTTTAGATTCGGGTTTCTTTTTCCTTATATTTGGGTTCTAAAAAGTATTCGGCTCTGGCATTCTCCTAGAAGTTAGACAGTTAGATTGGTACCCTTTGAAAAACGTGTACCGAAATGCCTGTGTAAATAATGAGTACACCAATAAATGGTACGGTAAATGATAAAATTGAACCAATAAAACACCATAAACGAGTTTTACTGTCGCCATTTATCGAAGCGTTGGGTACCTTTTCTTAAGACAAAACATAAATGTAAAAACAAACGAATGAGAAGGTGGCAAAGATCTCCTGATACCGCGCCTTGGTTTTTTTTTTTTTTATTATTCGATTATCACTCCTCAGAAGAAAATCCGAAGTACGTTATTGCAGGCTTATATTAAAATTATTATTAAAAAAAAAAAAACGATAAAAAGTAAAAAAAGTTGCCTATACAACACTCCGTACAGATAATGATCGAACGGAACCAATTTTATTTTCATATTTCGAATGTTAATAAAAAAAAAAATTGTCACTTTTGCCGTTGTACACAATAAGATTCGAAGAGATTGAATACCGATATTTTCTTTCTTTGTCTAACAGCGCACGTGCAGCATTTTATTTCAAACCGATCCACATTGAAATCGGTTTCCGTGCAAATAGACACCCGCCCGCGATCGTTCCGGATTGACATTGCATATTATTATCAATTCGGTTTAGACACGTATACAATTACGGTAATATTGTATTTCAACGTTATCGGCTGTTATTAAAACATCCCACTGTGCATTATACTCGAACGGCATAAACGTTCGTGCGTCACGACGTTAGACGTTTTGTTTTGCCGCGCGGTTCGTTTAATTTCGACGATCGAACGCAATAAAAAACGTTACGGCGTGTACCTACATTTTCAGTGTTTACAGCCGACCGACTAGGTCGAATAATAAACAATAATAAAAACTGCAGTCGACGTCGGGGAGGGGGGGCGCTCCGGAATAACATTATAACGGTAATAATAGGTACGCAGCACCGACGACTGCGATCGACTCACTTGTGGGCTTAAAACCAATTCGGACGAGCGGTGAAAGTGCCTGTAGAAGTTGTGCCAAAACAAACAGTCTCTGACGAAATCGCTGGGCGTCCAGTAGTTGACGAACTTGTGGTCCCTGTTGTTCCGGATATTCCTGTTGCCGAGTACCTGCGGTGCAATGCAACGGCGTAAACGACAATACGAGACGATTTATCGGTTAGGGCTATTCGTGATAATGTTATGCGGTTCTCGGCGGGTTTCAACTCGTTTGGTCGATTCGGTTTAGACTGCCAGTTAAATAGTTGATTATAGTGATTCGCGGGCCACGTTTTAAACCGCGCGGTACAAAAGATCGTGTGTTCGTGTCAATCGACATTAAACGGAAGAGAGAAAAAACAAAAAGAGAGCGGGAGAGAAAGAGAGAGCTAAAACCCTTGTGTAGCACCGGGACACCCAAACGGTTCTTGTAACAGACCCAAATGAAATAATAGGAAATCCACGAGAAGTCCGCCCGGTTTTCGAATGCACGCCACAATCACACTTCCGCGCCACTGTTCGGGTGTCTTATATCTGAATAACGGGAACGGTGATAATGTATAGGGGGAATTTTGTCGGTAATCTTTGGGGTATGCGCGCGGTGTTCTCAAAACGCGTCCCGCGTAGCCCGGTTGTTGGCTGTCCAACGGGACAGGCCCGGTGCTACGAGGGTGTTGCTAACGCGCGTGACCCGTATTTGCAGGACGGACGTTTGAGGAGATAATGGAGAAATAGATTTGTTCGATTCGTATCTGTGTGGCAACTGTCTGTGTTAGCGTTTGTCGACCTTTTCCCCGTTCCGCATTACTCGCCGGTTCGCTTTACCCGCGAGCGACGTTTCGCCGTCAGATCAGATAAAATCCGGCACGTACGTCGGCCGTAACGATACTTGACGAATCGTATACCCGTATCACGGTGCGCGTGTATTACGGCCGAAAACAGCGAAAACGTTGAGCGCACGGGCGCGACCGTAGCGCAGACGGCGAAAAGCGGCCGGTAACGGGGTCGGTGTACGGGGGAAACGAAAAAAAAAAAAAAAGCCACCCCGAACGCGGACGCGGCGCGGCGCGGGCGCGGGGTCTACGGGCCGCTTTCGTGCGCGCGGATTACGCGGCCGGTTCCGGCACGCCATTCCGGCCGGCGCGCCGGGGCTCCGGCGGAACGCGAACGGACGGGCGCGCGCGTGATGTATTGCCGCGTGCGCGCCGTGCGGGCGACAACACTCGAAAGCGCTCGGCCGCCCGGACGGAGTGGGGCGCGGGCACGGGCCGCGCGATGACGGTAATAATATTATTATTATTACTATATTATTGTTATGCGCGGAAAACGCGTTGCGCGGGGCGGGGCGATCGCGTCGGCTCTCCGGGAGACCTTGAAATTTCCGCTCGGCTCGCGGCGCGGGTCCCCGGTGCGCCAGCCGCGTCCCCGGGCACGCGATCGCCGCGCGGTATTGCAACGTTAACGTTGTTGTTATTATCGCCGTTTCAATATCACGTGTGTACGTGTGCCTGACCGCGCGGTATTACGATAGGCGTACGACGGCGGCGGCGGGCGAGGAGGCGGTGGCGGTGGCGAAGAGCGGCAAGAGTTCGCTGTAATTTCGCTATAAAAAAAAAAAAAAAAAAAAACGTTTTACACGAGATTCCGGGGTTTCGTTTGTTGCCGCGGTCGAGGGGGGGGGGAAACGGCCGCGTAAAAAGCACGGCGGACGGCGTGACCGAAACGCGAAAACGGGACGGGGGTGATAAACGCCGACGTTTCCCCCCCCCCCTCCCCCCGTCGTTTCGGGGGCACGTATTGTTTTCATTGCGTTCCGGCGGCATCCGATTGTTCGGAATCGTACTGTAATTACATTATTGTCGAGCCTATTTATCCGGTGCGCCGGTCGCCGCGTCAATTGCGACGGCAATTAACAGTATTTAATTACAACCAGTTAATTAGTATTTCTCGATTAGTCAATCCGCCGTCGCCTATTGGTCGTCTCTCCGCGGTCAAGTTCTCGGCCATTGCCGTCTCTCGAGTTAGTTATTCAGCCAGTCAAACACATCCGGCTCGGTTTATCCTGAACAGTTCAACTATCATATCCGATTCCTTAAAAATCAAACATTAATTCACTGCCCACAGCTGTCCCGCGTTCATAATACGTATTCTCCTCCCAGTCTCTTTTGACACCACGTCGTCAGTGGCGTAGCCACCGGGTACGTCGTTCCCGTTGCCTTTTTTAACCGCATATAAGGTTAAGAAGGTTTTAAAGCCCCGAACCTCCCTAGACACCATTGCATGTTGTTTCAATTTACGTGCGATTTTCCTCGTAAATATCATTAATCATATCGATCTGTATTCGTCGGACCCTTACGATGCTCGCAAACCATAAACGTAATCTTATTTCCGTTCTTTCGGACGGTATAATTTTGATTTGTGTAACGCGAAACGAGTGAAAAATATTCCCAACTATTCCCAGCCGCTTGTTTCCCGGTTAATTTCCTCCCAATAACGCGCATTAAAAAAAAAAAAAACAAAAATAACGGCAGAAATCGCGAGATAAAAGTTTTACTGTGTATACATAATTAATCTAGGTGCATTTCATATTTCTCGAGCGACCGAATAACAATAAATAAAAACGCAAATCATAAATTATAAACGGCAAGATTTACGGTTTATTGGTTCGGGAGAAGAATACTAAAAATTCGCGATCAAATATTTTTAATTACTTACGGTTTCAGACGCGCGTAAATCATTAGAATTACCTAAAAACGCTCTACAGATGGAAACACGCGGCGAAACAATAAGTTTAGCCCCTTAAGTATGACGTATTTTATGCGAACGCTTTATGAATTTAATAACCCGTGTCTTTGTATGTACACTCGAACGCATTGTCCTAGAGTTGAAAAATAATAATAATAACGATGGACTTAGCATCGAAATGCTGCTGCCACCTGCTGCCACTAATTTTTTTTTTTTGATGTTTTTTTCGGAGCTTCAGATTACCTAGTTTCAGTATTATTATTATTTTTTTCAAATTTAATTTATCGACGACGGCCGGGACAGCTGGAAGGCCAAAACGGGCGTGTATAATGCTCATTTTATATAAAATCGACAAAAACCTAAATTCGACCGTGTACCCATTATAACGTATAACTGGAGGTCGGGCTATTCGCTGTACATTTTTGCTTTAAAGACGCACTCGACACAATGTTTGATCAGACCTCGCGTGGTAAATGTTGCGTTTCGCTCAAAATACCGCACAAGAATGGTTATTTTGTGGAAATATCGCTGCCAAATTTATGATACGAATAATATTTATTATATACGTATCATGGCTACAACGACGATGTGTGCCAGTAATTTTTTTTTTTTTTTTTTTCGGTTTTTGGTTTTTGGCTGCGGTACGCGCATTTGAATTTCAAATGACTACATGGCTCTCAGACCACATATTTCATTAAAAAATGAACATTACCGAAATGATATTCTCTCATAGAACACTGCGGCTGATAAACAGTATACGGAGGGTTTGCGTTTGAAAATGCAACGTTTTATTTGATTTACCGTCGCGCGCAGAACGATGCGAAATACGCACGAAGAAAATTTAATCGGCAAATTTGTGTGATCGAATAATTTTATTCCGGCGCAATGCGCAAAATTCAATTTCGAACGGTTGGCATTTCGACGTGCGACTGGTATGCGCGTTTCGTACGGCAATATTATTACAGTTTTATCGACACGACCTTTTGACACGATGGCCAAATTATACGGGGTTTTTTTTTCCAATTTTGCAATGCCGCGCATGTCATCAATATACTTAACAATATTGTTATCTTTGATAATGTCTTCTTCGACTTCTTCTTCTTCATCGTTGCCTTTATCCCTACTGTTCAGCCCGCCCTCGTTCCAATTGACCCGATTTCCCGCCTCGCACACGCCGCGGGCTGTTCTCGTATTATTTTCAATCGCATCCAACCGCCTATTTTAAAATCTCTCGCCATAATTCGTTCCTCCCACGTTTATTTCCATTGCAGTTCTTGCTGCTTAAAAGTCCTCTCTCCCCGTGGCACGCCCAAACCGTTCCGGACAATTTCTTTTCGTTTTGTCTACGATCGAAGACACGGATAAACTACATCTACATCTCTGTTGTCTTTGCTAATACGCTGTTTTTCAATATTATATTTTCCACTTATGTTTCGGAAAACTCCGTCCGATCGCGCGGAATACGTCGTGCTCACGACTGTATAACATTATTATTATTATTATTATTTTTTTTTTTTTCATTAAATTAATATTTTTCTATTTGTTTTCGTTCGTGTGCTGCTTTAGCTGTCGTCTAAACAAATAAATACAGTTGATCAGTTTGTCCGACTACACTGCTTAGCAATAGAAAACAAATTTTGTTTTTATTAATAATTATATTTCATATTATTATTGAATGTTACACAAAAAAACAGGATGCGTACAAACACGTCGTATTAAATAAATAACAGTGGTATAATATTTGTATTAAAAATCAATTATTTATTTTAGATTCTGTACCGAGTGATGAATGATGTTTATTTTTTTTCTGCGGACAATTTTTATACCAGAAACTCCGCTCCGATTTACTAGTGTGTCATGTACGAAGTTTATTATTTTCATACCGTAATTATTACGACCTTTCAAATCATGTATAACCGTACTCCGCTCAGAATCGTTTTTCGTTAGCGACGATTAATCGTTGCACACAGATGTACATAAAAATTTGCCCTCGACCTATCCCACTTCTCACCTACAACGATGGCCCGCCCATTGTGCGAAGTATGTCCGTTTGTTTTTTTTATTATATTTTTTTTAAAAAAAAAAACCATCGTATCGTTAAAGACGTCTGCTGAAACGTCAAAGGCGATTTTCAATGTATTTTTTTTTAAATTTCGTATCGGAACTGTACTCACGTTATTCCGTGTACTCGATCGAATCCGAATAGAATTTAAAACCAAAGAGCATAATAAATTGCACCCATACCTTTTGCATTATCCGGGGCAGCTGGTCCATCGTGACTTTGGCGCGCGGCTGCGACGACGACCGGTCACCGCGGTCACCGGCCGTCCACGGCTTGATGGCCTCGCACGTCTGCACCAGACACCGGATGTACCGGACAGTCTCGGCGTTCTCCCGGCGCCGGTCCGGCGTCCAGTACCGGCCGTTGTGCGCGACCGGCGACGGGCCCGTCCTGATCGCGGGCCGCAGCCCGTCCATGGCCAACATTTTCCGGCCTACGTCCAGCAGGGCGGCCGAATACATGTCACCGCAGGGCGATCCGTCGCCGCCACCGCCGCCGCCCCCGGCCCCGGCCGCCCCGCGCACGTTCATCGAAAAACGTTGCGGTTTACCGGCACGAATAAATATCGGCAGCGGACACGGTGAGCACTGCGTACATCGCCGCCGCCGCCGGCCCGACGGCCGCGCAGTTTACCGCCATCTGAAATCGGGAACAAAACATAATTACAAATCTCAAACCGTCCGCAATCCGGGTGTGAATTTTAAATTTGCATCACTAGTAGGTAGACGTGAGTTTTGGGAGAATGCAGTTGAGTTTACTCGTGGTTAGATCGCATAGTCTTTTGTTTGTCCCCGTGTTGTGTTACGCACGGGAACCCGGGAGGAAAAAAAAAACAAAATTCACGTTGTGAACCCCGTCCATACGAAAATCGAAAATGCATCTGACGTATCAGCAGGGTTGGGCGAGATACTAAAAAAAAAAAAAAAACCAAAACATCTTGATCCATAAATCGAGATACGTTATAAGACACGGTAAGAGATACACAACTAGGAAAGATATAAGAGATATTAGATACTTTGAATTTTTGAATTTTCATAATTCAACATCAATCCGATGAATATTTTTTTTTTTTTTTTATAACTTGTGAGAACTTATTGTAAATTATAATAAACGAAATACTATGAGAAATCGTTGAAACATAGAATTTTTATGATTAAAAGTTCAAAAGAAAATGTAATCGTAATTTTTTTTTTATAGCGAACAAAGGTAAATGTTTGTTTTAATTTTTTAATGCATATAGCTGTATTTATTGAATGCTATTTATACCGGTAGATTTTTGCTCGTCCTTTTAAAACAAACCCTAATGTCAAATACGTGTTTTGTTCAAGCATATCTTGTATCGTTTAACGAGATACTGTGTATACGATAGTGAATAGGTATCCTATTAATATTTATCTGGTAACGCCACTACGGCACGAGCCACGGGTACGCTAAAACAATTAATGTCTACGTCAATTGAGAACGCACGTGAGTGTACAGATGATTAAATTAACGAAATAAAACAGAAAAAGAATCGTTACAAAAAAAAAAAAAAAAAAAAAAAATAACAAAGAACGGAAAATGCCCTGAACCCAAGCTAAACTACATAATATTTTTGGTGAAGTGTTGCGGAATATACCGAATCAACGACGGCACTGCTAATGAATCTCAACACGAGATGCAAGATACACTAGGGAAACCAAAAAAGATACGAGATGCGATATGTGTCATTGATACATTCGTCTGTGATACCTATCGGTCCTGCACAACAGAAAATATGAAATCGCAATATAGCACCTGCGACACACGCGCCAATGACTGGGGGGGGGGGAATTCGTATTACGACGTGCCGAAATAAACGATGCGAGTACAAGTACTATAATAGATCGAATGTTGCGTAAAAAACAGATCGGGTTTTTTAATTCGACATTTTCCCCTGATATCCGTTGTACAAAACGTATAATACGAGTCCCCGCGCGCGTTTTCGGGACGCTCTTAATTTTTGAGATTCCGAAGCGGGGAGAGTCCACTAAGCGACACAGATATACGACACGTTTCGTTCCGTAAATCCGTTTTCAGACAGTAATACCAAAATACGTTGTCTCGGGTGATTATATTTTATCGCGACAATTTCGCGAACCAGACCGGCGGCTACATACTCACGGATATTAAACGGTGCGAAATAGCCGCTCTGTACGAACGAATTACTAACGTGATACGCAATTGTCATTAACGTGCGTTAAAATGTCACGACGGATACTGTACCTGGGATTTTCGGAGTCCTTATAAGAATTTAATACCGTTGTTTTCTTTTTTTCTTTTTTTTTTGGTTTGTTTATTTTTCCGTCTTGTCTCGGCGTTAATAACGGTGCGAAGTTATCGTTAACGAACTTATTGTACGCGAAACGTTTTTTTTTTTTTTTTTTTGTTTTTGTTTTCTATAAAACGCCGTCGACCGCCGCACGACAACCGGTCAGATTTTTACTGTCCGCGGACATTTTCGTCGCCCGCCTTTATAAACGCCGGCAAAACGAAAATAATATTATTATGTTACACGTCGACGTTGTGCCGGAAAAGTTTTCGCACTGGCGCGCGGTATTCGAAAAATAAAAAAAAAAAAAAAAACAATAAAATAAAAAATAACGAATTTGATATTATCGCCGTCGCCGTACGGTCGCGAACAACGCTCGTGTCTTCGGTACCGCACTGACCGCGTCGTTGTTTCGGTGCTATTTGTGTTGCGTCGCGCGGTGGCGGCGGCGGCGGCGGCGGCGCGGCGTCGTCGTCGTCGTAATGTTATCCGCGCGCCGCCGAACGGTTCGCCGTCGACATTTCGGGGCATGTGCCGAGGGACGGCGGCGGTAAGTATATTGCCGTTATTATTACAAAAGGGTAGGTATACGGTTTTTTTTTTATACGTGTATATACAGTCCCGCGGCGGTGTGGGTGTGGGTGTGAGTTTACAAGCGTTTTATCCGTTTTCAACGCACTTTGCGTTATTACACACGTTATTTTTACACGTAATAATGATATGGACATTGTCTTTTTGTAAAGACACGTATTTTGAAAAAAAAAATGTCCGCACGCAGAACGAGAGACAGCTGCGCTGCAATAATTATCGAGATGAGTTCGATAGACGGACTGTTATTCGTATGGCCTTTATTTGAACGCGGCACAATTAATATATACTGGAAACAGTTAACAGGCAAATTAGAACAGGTGCTGAAAAGACAAGGTCATGCAGCTGTTCGTGATACCTGGTCGTCGGGCGGCGTACTACTGTGTACATTGCTAGCCGGACGTACTCTATTTGCTAGTGGTCCTGAAGATACCACTACTAAAATATACCAACTGCGTTGGCAACAGTAATCTGGATCCGGCGATTGGTCAGTAGCGTCGATTGAAGCCAAAGGTTTGGTAAAGAGAATGTTCCACATCGATCCCTATCCTCCGAGTTGGCCTCTGCCAACAGTTTGTTAGATTCTGTGTTAAATCGGTAGATAATAAACGGAGAAAAGTTGCCAACGCTTCAGATACAGTTGCAGGATAAAGGGATAAGATAAAGTGAACAACGGACTAACCCGATAAGGGCAGTCGACTGATTGGACCTACCCCTAACCTAGAACCGGTAGTTTTAAGTCCACTGGCTCAAAGACGACACACATCTCAAATTAAATGATACTCACCTACTTATTATAGTATAATACTTACGAATTTTCGTAATTAATACTCAATTAAATATATTTTATTCTATTTCTATTATTACATATTTTCATATTTTATCTTACAAATGGTGTTTCATTTTCAAATTTAGTATTTTAAATAAATGTGTTTGAATAAACGTCTTAAATATATTTTTTGACTCTAATATCACGTAAATTATTTTATTCTTTTCTATTTCATCTTAACTGAGTTTACTTTTAACTAGTTAATTTTATTTATCGTTGACTAATTAACTTGAATAGCTTAAGTTTTCATTCAAATTATATTTTTGCAGTTAATTTTCACATAGACATCTAATAAAATTTGGAGATTTTTTTTAAATTTAATTTCAATCGGCTAATTACAGTGATTTATGAATCGAAATATTTACTGTGATAGTCTAGTTGGTTTATTTTTTATATAAATGAACAAATATATTGATAAAATAATAAATATTACTTTAAATATTTTTAACTTGTAATATTGATTTTTTTTTTTTTAATCCAGTTACATTTTTGATTAATTAGTAATTTTATTATTCATTTTTTCATTAAATTGTCCGCCTCTGCTTATTATATTATAAGACTAGAAACCTCTATAATTCATGTCCGATGGGAATATAAGATTTTGTTCCGAGTGAAACGCCTGAACATTTTAAATTTTATAGTGTAATCAGGGCAAATTGATCTGTCGGGAAACGAAGAATTTTCCCTATGGGCCGGTTTTCGTGTGAACTGCTATAAAATACCTAGCGTATATTATTACAAAATTTATAAAATTAATATAATTATATAGGTTAGATTATTAACCTGAGGTATATTTATCGCACTGTATTCGTCTGAATGTTTAATATATTACGGTTTTGATATTATGTTTGTAACTATTCGAACAGTTAAAAAGAAAGTAAGCTTCATAGAGAATATTACTTATTGAGTAAATTCAGGGAATCGTTCCAAAAAAATGTACCGTCGTATTAAATTAATTCGGTAGGTATCAAAAACACAAGTAAATTACTTTTATATCATTTAGAAAATCTATTAAAAGAGGAACCATTGAGAAAATTCGGCCCTGTTAAAAAGCAAAATGTTTTATGTTTTTTTCTGTGCAAAAAATATTGCTAAGCTGGTGACGTAATGATAATAACTATGGAATTGTTTAAAACTGGTAATTTTAAAACTGCAGGCATTCATCGAATTTTCATACTGGAACTTTTAAACTTGCAATATCTGTTGATATTGAATAAATATGTATGGTAATTAGCAAGGCTGGGCAAGTTAATGGTTTTCTCAACTCAGTTAAGTTAAGTTAAATTTAAATTTGAATAAAGTTAATAATTTGAAATTATTTCAAAAAATCTATCAAAAGATGAAATTTACTTTTTAACTCAAGTTAAGTCAATTAAAAAAATTATAATTAAGTATAACGAAAATCATCTAACACGGCAATATATTTTATTTAAATAAAATTATGTTTTTTTCCAGATTTTGACTCTTGAGTGTAGTGTACCGAGGAATTTATTATTTGTTTTACTTTGATGTCTATTTCATTTTACTGTCTACAAATAATTTTTTTTTACAAGAAATCATGTTCTGACCCATAGCTACGAGTATTCTATATTATTTGAATATTATACTTCACTAGTAAATATCAAACAGTAGTAGATTCATTTAAGATGAATTCATTATTTTGATTTTACTTGTTGTTTTCTTAATAATTGGAAAAAAAATTGGAATATTTACACAATTCAAGGGTGCCATTTGGAAGGATTATTTATGAATTAGCACCCTCGTGCAATTTTCATCCAAAATTTTTCCTAGAAATCATAACACGACAAGTGAACTTTTTTGTTGCATTTTGGCTCTAGTTGGTATTTTATGAAGGTAATTATTTTTAACAATTCTCATTAATATTCGAGATAATGAGGAAAAACTGGTTCCTTAGGTTAAAAATAAACGTTGTTATTGGCAACTGTGTTCATTTAGTTATTGTTATTATTTAGTTTTTATTATTTGTTTTTAGAGTATATTTATGACAACTTTATTTATATCTCAACCATTGCTGTCACATTGAATAAATTCCAAAGATCGTTTTATACAACTTTCTACTCTTTCCGTGATAATCTGCTGGGTGATATAGTTATCCGTATCGAGGAAAAAAAATGCCAAACATAAGTTGAATACATTGTATCGAATTCCGATGATACGATATGTACCTAGTTACATGTAAAATTCTTAGATTCAAATATATTATCATCAAATGTTTATAAAAACCAATTGTAACTTATGGATCAGGAACACGCACGAACTCAGCGGAAAACGGATGAGAAATCTTTAGGTGTATTTGAAAACAAGATCTTAAGGGAAATAACGTAATCGAGAGAATCTGTAAAAATAGAGGATCAACAGAAATACGTCGGAATCTGAATATTATAAACGATAATACGTTCCGACTAAATTTCATTAGATTTTGAAAGTTACAGTTAAGACGCGTGTAATTGTAATACAGTACGGTTTAATTTTGGAACAGAGTATGAGAGTCTAAATAGTGGAGCAATATATTAACTGTTCCAACTCTCTAAGGATGTTGGTTGCCTAAGTGTTACCCTAGTCGATGAAAATCCACGAAGGATATAACATACGAATTAAGAATATTATCTATATAATTTATAATTTTTACTCTGACAGAAACGCTCTTAAAAAATACTTTAAAACCAATAACTAAATCATTATATACAATTTGTGAGAATTAATAAATTTACTACGTTTTGTAATTTTTATCGAAAATTGTTATGGTTTTTACACACCCATAAAATATAATCTTGATTTTTAGGTGTTCGTCTCACTCGTAGAGCACAAATAATTATTTTGTTCGCAGTTATTCGGTTCGTTATACACACTGAACTTCCAAACTATATTCGTAAGTTTTAGTTGTTACAGTGTTTTAAGGTATATTATACCTTATAACTATTAAAAGGTAACCATTTTCAGTGTTTGTGGTAGGATAGCCACAAATGTTATGAGATATAAATTTTATCGCGGCGTAAGAAAAATAATAACAAATCCAAATCGCTTGTTATTAGTACATGAAGCCGAACCGTCGGTCATTGATTCGGTTAAATAGGCGGTTTACGATAGGTTATCCGCTAGATCGCGGTGTATATCAATAACATTTTTCACTTTGTCAATATTACATTTCTACGATGATGGACATTATTCGCCTAATTACCAATTCTTATAAAGCCACAGATAACATAATATAGTGTGTTAAGCACTGCATTTGTGTACTAGGTAAGTTCTATTAAGTTCGTTTTAAAATGTTGAAAATTGTATTAAGTAAAAGAAATATTAAAATCTGTATTGATAGTTTTTATTTAATTGTAATATAACAACTATATTTTAAAGAAATATATTGCTAGTTAGCCAGTTTTAAAACTTTAAAAATACAAGAAATAATAGTTATATTAGATGGTAAAAAAATGTTTTTTCTAGAATTTGACGTTGCTATGCAAAGTACCTTAAATTGAGCGTACATTTACTTCATAAGTCTTAAAGCACATCAAATTGTAATTCTTTTATCATAATTCAAAATCTCAAACTGTAAAAAGTAGGCATTCATCACCTCAACATTTATCGGTACGGCTACTCTATTATACTATTCTATGCGCTGCTCCAACGATCTTTTTAACACGGTGGTGAGTGTAAAGTCAACAGGTATTTCTGATTTAAAAATAAACAACGGTTAGTATTATCACAGATGAATTTAGGAACAAACGGATCGATAGGAATATTATTTTTTATTTGTCGCTCATGTACGCTGGAGTGATGAAAACACAAAAATTAGTCGGCGAAAATCTCTGCTGCCTATCACGCTGTAATCGAGTAAACCGCTAGTTAGCAAAAAGAAAAAAAAAATCGATATCGAAAATGTCCGAAATTCGCGTAGCCAGGGATTTCCAGAGGGGGAAAAATGAAAATTATTTCACATAGTACCAATATCACTATTTAATATTTCATGGGACTGGGATGGAAAACGATGTTCTCATGTGTTCTAAAAGTAGAAACACAAAGCTCGGGCTCCGTTGATTTCGTTACGTATTTCATATTGTATGAAAGGAATCGGCGGATCGTCTGCGAAAACCCGGAGTTTCTATATGCGTAATTGGGTCCAGGAACTAGGAAAACGCGGATGGTGGACGGATTGATGACGGACCAATTGTATACAAGAACCGCCGCCGCAATAAATATAACGTGTTTTTTTACAAAAGAATCCATTGGAAAAAATGCGAACTCTTAAACACCTATTAGTTTTCAAGACACATATAATATTATACGATTATTTGACAATACATGCATAAAATATATAATAAAATAATACGTTTAACGCATAAAACTACGATGAAAACACATGAAAAAATATAAATAAAATATGTACAAATAAATTAACGTGACGGTTATAAATATATTGCGTATTATTATGACGCATAAAATGTATTTCCTTACGGCGAAAACGCACGCATTTTTTCCGTCGCGTAATATCCAATAGTCACGCGTACGCTGTACGCTTAACAAATGATATAATAATAGTATTACGACCGGTGTGCAAGCCGTGCGAACGACCGCGAAAAAAACTGGGAGGAAAAGTCCGTCGGAAAGAATGTACCCTCGCGTAAAGAAAGTCCGATTTAAATGTTTGTTTTTTTTTTGGGGGGGGGAGGGAGGAGAACAGTCCGAACCGTCGCGACACGGAAAATCGATAGTGCGTGGTCGTGAGTACGCGGGAAAAAAAAAATCGCGGACGGAAATCACGCTGCGATAATAACGGTGGAAAAAGTGCGACGCGGAACTCACAACGGACGCGAACGGATTCGCGCCCCGCGGGCAGATGACTCCGGGGGAGTTTTCGCTTGGCCAATGCTCACGGACGGCCGCCCGGGCGAGGTTATTTCCGGTCGCCCGACACCCGCGTGTTCTCGATAAAAAAAAAACATCTCAGCGCTCGGACGGGGGCTTGTGTGATGTGACGGTGACAACGACGGGACAAATTAAATCGGACTTTTTTCACGCGGTATCGTTTTCCCCGCCGGACCTTTTCCCGACGAGCGACGGGCGTCCGTTTCGACCCCGGCCCCGCGCGCGCATTGAACACGCCGTCGTTACGCACGTTTCCGGGCGCGTCCGCGGGGGACGCGACCGCTCAACAGAGAAACGATTCGCGTGTTAAGCGTATAATTGACAATTGATATCGTACATAATATAGCGGATAGTAATAATTTAATTTAATTTAATTTAATTTTTTTTTTGTTTTTTTTTTTTTAGTTTTTTCACGTATACATTATTGTTATTGTTGCTGCGCGTGATGCGTGCGTCTCCGCCGCGATCACGCGGCGCTCCGACGACTCGGTAGGACCGTCGAATCACTTTTCGGTGCCGCGGTCCTGGTCCTCCGGCGTGGGAATGTACGCCCTGTAGGCCACCCAGTGCGGTTCGTGCACCATCGACTTTCTCGCCCAACCGCTGGCGCCGTGGCCGTTGACGGCGGCCCAACCGCTTGGCGCTCCGGCACCTGTTCACACCGACAAATAGCGTTTTTTTTATTTACTCTTTCATAATCATAAATATTGTTTTAATGCACGCGCACACCGGATTCGCTGCTGGCCGGCCGGACGGCGCGCGCGACAAGAGGGAAATAAAAAAAAAAAGGCATCCCCATTGGCTAGGCCACTGTATCCGAGTCCCGAACGTAGAATTTGAATTCGAGAATATACTATAGTCCCGTCCCCCGGGGGTTTTTTTTTTTTTTTTTTCCAAATGGATATACCGATTCCGTTCCGTGTAATTTGTACATTGGTTATACGAGTTCCGTCCCTTTTCGCGTGTTCCACACTATATTAGTACAGTATGAAACGTACGACTGCGATAACAATTTTATATTATTTAGAAATACCGAACAGTATTGCTTTCGGTTATCGCACCAGATAATCGAATTTAATAATACTGTATTATTTAGAAATACAAATAATACAATTTAACTATTAAACTTTTCAGTTATTATTTGTGCGTCTGCGTGTCTGGATTTACGGTTCTTTTATTGTACTGACATACCTATAGTAATATTTTAATTTGTTAGTTAACCTTCTTTTTTTTTTTTTTTTTTTTTTAGGGACGGAATTGGTATACACGTTATTTTTTTACTTATGCGCTATCGTGCATACGTGACAGACTGTTGATAGAGCGACTATATTGAGAGCGATGACAAACATCACAGTGTGGACACATATCGTACGTTTCGAATTGTTATGCGATGGCATCAAGTGTTACACCGAAAAACAATAATGGAAGATCGTTTTCGGCGTTTGTGGCGGATCTTCCACAGATGTTATCATATGTGTATATAAAATAAACAGTAAACAAATTCATCAACTAAATCTGAACTAACTTTTTGTCATAGTGTGAGTGATAATTTCATTAAAGATTTCCGACTTGGAAAATTACCAACACCGTTGCCACCGGTGTCACGACAGATGACTTTGGGAACTTACGGGTTCTATACAATTTTACGAATTTCGTAAAAACGAGTCTTGTGATAAAATGTATCGTGATGGCAACTACCACGGTTGTATGGCTACAGTATCGAGTGGGCCAGGATTGACTAAGTGGCATATTTCCAGGGAGTATCAAAGAAAAACCTGCCCCCCCCAAATGTTCCCGGTGGTGTTATTGGTTGTACATTTATAAGTAAATAATTACTATGGTTCCAAAACAAATTCTCTTTTTGTTTTTCATTTTTTTTTTACCTGAGGCATAAGTGTCTTGGGCTCCGGCGTACGACGTATCACCGCCGCCTATGTGCGATCCCGCTGAGTAGCTATCTGCCCCGCCGCCTGTCGACCAACCGGTTGCCGTGTGACCGGAGATCCATCCGGCTGGCGCCGCCGCTGCGTAGTCGGCGCTACCGCCTCCTCCATGGCTGTCGTGGACGATAATCACTTCTTTGCCTAAGTAATAACAATCGGTGTTAGTATTCGATGCACTGCGAGTTCGACCTGTCGATTTCTGTAGATTTCACTGGCCGCGTCGAGGTTTTCAAAGCAATAATAATAATAATGCGTGGCTTACCGTGTCCTCCACCTCCGCCGCCCTTTTTGCCTCTCATCAACTGAGCGAGACTCATCAACAGGGCTAATTTGCTCAACAACAGTGCTTTGATGGCCTTCACTTTGATCATCAACATCATTAGCGGGCCCATAAGTGCCATCTTGCCCATCAGTCCCATCATCATCATTTGCATCATTTTCTTGTACTTTTTACCTTTTCCTCGTCCTGATTTGTTAAATACACAAAATAATAACAAATGATATTAAGGATTTGATTGCGCCGATGAGGTATATTTATGTTAAACTTCAAAAATCATAACATTTTATTTTCAATTCATCATCATCTACTATACGCGACAAGTGTATTCGAGGGAGAGAGTTTGAATTGCCGAATTCATTTTTTATGAAAACGGCGTACGAAATTCTGTCGAGTTTAATATGAAAAACGAAATCGTCTCATTACACACGCATATACACATTCAATACGGTATTCCGTTTACCGCGTGTTCGTTTTGAAAGTAACATAATTATTCACACATAGTTCACGCCGATAATAATAATATTATAATAATCTATACGTTTTGTTTTGTCGACGATTTTCCGAAAAATATTCCAATTTATAACGATGGAAAAATAAAAGTGTTAGTCTGTCGTCGTGTTTTGCACTATGGATTTTCGAATATTAAAATAATATTCCGAATCCGATTTCCGCGGCCGATTACTACGATATATATATATTATTACAGTACAAAAGTGAAAATTCAACATTGGACCTATGTACAACTATTATAATATCACGAGATTTTACCGGGGTCCGCGACGACGACGGTCAACGTTTCGGATTATGAACGGTGTTAATTTTTTTGCAGATTTCCCGAGGAAAGCATAAAGATAATAATAATTATGCCGTCACCGGGCCGGTGAGTCGATTGTAATAATGAAATAATCGACGTTTTATAGTAAATTTAACGAGTCGATTCGTCAGGGTTTTGACGAAATAATGGCGCGTATATGGAGTTTTGTACGGGACACTAAACTACGGTTTTAAACGCGGTAATCGATCCACTCTGTAGGTATACGGCCTATAGGTGCGTACCGTACTATTATAGTTGCATATTATTATTATTATTATTTTAATGGTAATTTATGTGATCGGTGGCCTGTAAAAGTCGCATCCAGGTCAGATATCGCGCGCGCCGTAATTGCTATATAATAATAAAAATGTTAGGAAAAAAAAATACGTAAACAAATAGAAATAAAAAAATTCACTGTTCATCTAAAAAATGTTCAATAGGTAGGTACAGTTTATTATAATGTACGGTCACAGTGGTATTTAAAAATCAAAAATTATCATCACTCTTCCGAAATTTTAGAACACTCTGTAATACGTGTTTACCAACATTTTTGATTGTACAGACCACTTAGAGGAACTTTTTAAAAATCACGGACCACTTTGTTGTTTTTTTTTTTTTGTTGTTCATAATCAAAGATCACTTTTTTCAAAGATTTACAGGCGTTTTTCAATATGTGATTAGATTGGCTTTTTTAAAAAGGTTTACAATTTGGGATGGATACTGTTTTTCGTACAATGCATATTTTTATTTGTGTCCTTCCGAATCCTTTGATTTTTTTGTATTGTGAGCAGACTCAAAAATTCATGCTCACACAAATGTGTTGTATAAAATACCAGAAGTAACGTAATGCCTCTGAGTTAAATATAAGATATTGCTCAGTGTGTAATCTTTCGCTGCATTGAGTTGTTTATTTCAAATTTTTGGAGTAAAAAATTCCGAAAAAAAAAAATCGTTGGCACCGTGGACCACTAATGAAATGACTATGGACTACTGGTAGTTCGTGGACCACCGGTTGGACCACGTTCCCTAATTTTTTTGGATTTGTGATCATATCGGAGGTCGTCTCGGTGGTTTACCAAGCCTAGGATTCGGTGCCTCCAAAATTATAAGTGTAATTTGTATTTTCTTATTATAATATTGCACATGTTTGTATTTTACCCTGTCGTAATTGGGTATCTGACCGTTTTTCAGTAAAATCGAATCACTATAGTAAAAACGTTGCACAAATTTGTATACAAATTGAATATTATTATGTTATAATATTCGGCGGATCGATAATCTGAAGACCAGCCAACCGTTGAGCCGGCGGCGCGTGCGTAAGGACTTTAAAAACGAATAAATTGTGATTTACGAAAGGATTTATCGCTCTCTTTATGGAACGGCCCTACTTCCCACCCCCTACAGAATCTTTCTACATACGGACAGTCGAGTAGCATCGTGATTTATATACCTTCTTCTATGGACCGTGACAGATTTATGTCCAACGTGTTGCCGGATATGGAACGGGCTTTGCCCTTGAGTGCGGCCGTGATACCGGGTGGCAACGTGATCCGGAGTATGTGCGAACCGATGAAACGGTCGAGCGTGTGTTCCATGAGCGCGGACAGAGCGCTCTGTTCGTCCACCGTGTTTAGTCGGGCCATTAGGTCCGTCTCGTTTAGAGGCGGGCGCATGTCCCTCTTGATCCTGACCACCGACAGCAGATCGCCCAAAACGCTGAATCCTGGAACATAAATAAAATAATCAATTAGACATTAAAAAAATTCCTCTGGAAACCGATCCTGCTGATGACAAAGCGTATATGACAAGTATAATAGGTATAATCACTCATTGTGGGAAAAGACTTTTAGTTTCGGAAAGAAAAATCATACGAAAGATTTTCGAGCCGGTGAAAGATGAAAATTAAAAAGTGATGACATTTAAAATAATTTCAGAAACGAAATAGTTATTGTCGTAAGGAACGAAAGACTATACAGCGGGTTTGAAGCGTTTCCCAAAATCAACATCCGTTCATACGCACAGTTTTGGAAAGGAACCAGAAAAGAACAATACCGGGGAGAAAGATGTGAAAAATGTAGTATGAGGTTCAAACTTAATGGCACATTCATCGGATTGCTGGATGCGAGATTGTACTACTGGATTGTCTTTGGGGCCGGTTACCTAAGAAAGTTATTACTCAGTAATAGATTAGATATACAACAACATAACCTAAGAATATAGGAGAGAAAAAATCTTATTGTTGTATTATTATTATTATTATTTAATTTTTGTAGTTTGCCGAAATATCGTCTTTACGACCACTCTGATCTGTTCCCTCCTCTAACAACGGCGGGTAATTGACAGAATGTTGCATAGTTATGTCACCGCGCTGTGACCGATTTCAATACGCCATTTTTGAAGACCACACCGCGTTGATTTGATAATGACACGAATCGCTTAATTGCCGTAATTTTCTTTTAAAATATTGATCTAGATTCAAAATGCCGCGAAGCAGCAACCCGAACCTATAGTAATCCTAAATATAATTCGTCATTATTACTGCAGCGGAGATCATCTTTATACTCATGGCGGAAGAAATCTAATATAAGTAACACAAAAGGGCGGTGGCCTCTTAAAAGAAAAAAAAAATCACCGGCATTTAACCTTGCCCCGGACCGCTGCCGGTGTACCGATTTGACACGCCTATTTAGTAAAATTGTATATTACTATAATAATATTATGCTAAAAGTCGAATCGTTCGGATGGTGCGGTTTTATTATTTCCACTGTCGGCCCTGTGTATACACGACATTTTTCTTAGTTCTTATATTCGTTGCGACAACGACGAAAAATCCACAACAACAAGATCGTAATTTAAACGCTGTGCGGAAACCGGCAAACCGCATTTCAATCTCTGGACGGTCGCCAAAACAAATTACGGCTATGTTATACGGGAATTTCGGAAGAACGTTTTGGTGGCGAGGGGACGTCCGCGCGTGATTTCCACACGAAAGAAGAAAGTAAAACGCGTACGCGCGGCTATTTTAAAAAGCGATCTGGTGGCGGCAGCGTGACTGGACGAAAAAAAAAAAAAAAAAAAAGACCAAACTTGCACGCCGGAGGAAAGGGGGGGGAGGGAAAAGCTGAAAGAAAAAACGCTCGGTGTATCGCATAGAAATCGTACCATTACGAAGTGTTTTTGTGCATACGCGAGTGTCTATTATAGGCACCTCCTATACAACGTGAACATTATAATGTTCACGTTGTAAGACACCGACGGTAATATGAATGGGACGTGAAAAACACAATGGTGTCTTCCCCGTGACCGCATTAAAAGGCGTAAAACGTACGACGATAATTATGTAGGTACGGTAAAACAATAAACGGCCGTCGTCGTCGCGTTCGTAGGCGTGCGGGTACAACTGCAGCAGCGTGTCCGCGGCGTGAAAAAAAAAGACGCGAAAATATGAATCGAAATTATATAGTGTTAAGCTCGTTATTAATATTATTACTATTATTATTATTATTATAATCGTAGGTTGACGATATTTTCGGACGCCGACGATTTGGGTTACCGAGTTTTTCGAGTCGGCGCTGCGGCTGTCGCCAATTAAAATCGCAGCGAGACGCCGTCGCCGTCGCCGAAGAAACCGTCGCGAATGACGGCGGTGGAGGCGGAGGAGAGGCCGCGCCGCCGCGGCCCCTTTTCGCACGCCCGGTATATTGTATATATATATATATACAATATACAATATACAATACACGTATACGCGTATACTTAAATTGTTATTATTGTTAACAATATAAACTGCGAGGAAAAAAAAAAAAAATAAAAAAAAACTCCTAGAATAATAATTTTAAACGCGAAAACAAAAGTAAACAAAATCGCTACGACAATCGCGTAGTGCACCGTGTACAATTTCGCCGATCGGAGTGCCGACGCAGACCGTCGCGGAAGATTTTTTCGGCGGCAATTGCCGGAGGTGAAAACGGACGGAAAAATAAATAATAAATACCTCGTCGCCACACTGCCGCGGGTCTTCGAAGCGACGACGACGACGACGACTTAATGCGTAATAATTGTCTCTCGTATTTCGCGTCCTTTCATGTTTTTCGCCGATCGGATCGGTACGGACGCGAAAAACAAACGTGTACCGATATCCATATCGTTGTTCGGTAACAATATAATATTACCGCGTTCCGGTTTTATAACGTCATCGACATTTTATATACTGACTGATACGATTCTATACGAAGCGAGGAATTTGTTAGTTTTTATTGTGCACGGGCTTTTCACTCGTGTACCTTATGTCCAATAACAATTTTTTACACCAGACGTTTTGCTCCGATCGGGAATTCGATTCGGGATTTTCTAGATAAAATTTTCAGAAAAATAAACCTTACAGAATGGCTATCTTAAAATTTTCCGAAAATAATAAATAAAAAAAAAATGAATCAATTCAAATATACATATTTCTAGTCGTCATTAATGCGAGTAATGTAGAAAAAATAATTAAAATGTAATTTGATTATCTTTGTTATCTTCGGGGATATTCAAGAGGTATACCTTCGTGGGGCAGCCTATAAATTTATAAAAGACATTTCGCTCCGAATCGTTTTTCGTTAGCAATGTTTTATCGTTGCGTACAGATTTAAATTGAATTTCCCCCTATATCCAATCATAATTTTCTAACTTCTTTTCTAAAACAGTGGCACACAAATCAGCAGTATTAGCTATTTTTTTTTTTTTTTATCACTCTTACCAAATTTTCGTAATTATACGATGTGTAAAACGATTTTTTTTTTTCCTAAAACGCTTGTAACACTTATTGCTGCAAATGACAGTGTTTTTCCTTTGAACGGTTATTTTTCTTTTGTTCGTCGTCACGTTCGATCATTTAACGGTCCGACCTAACGCAGAAATCCGATTAACAATAATAATACAACGAGTAATACACCGACGAGATTTGATAATACCGTGTGTCAAGTTCTCAGCGAACCAAAAACTACTAGAGAATATAGTATTTCGGTTTCCTTTAATTTTGTCACCATTCGTCTCTATTGCGCTCTATTAATATCTATAATTCGTTTTTTTTTTTTATGAGAAATTGAACGATAAAACGTATTATTCGATTTTTATTATTATTATTATTGTTATTATTATTTTGGATGATCTCTATTATTATACCTGCACCACTCGAAATCTCGTACACGTCTGTTATCAATCAACTCAAATTCAACGGGTATTTTTTTTTTTTTCTGTTAATTTATAGTACATTTTCATATCATAAAATCTGTTTAGAATTTTCGATAGGCCACTACATTCCACTACAGCGTTTTTTCTTTTTTCTTCCGCTGCACAGTACGAACACGATGATGACGTTTCGATTTGGGTTGTTGTTTTTTTTTCGCTTACTGTCAGCAGTGAGAACTATAAATACAAAATATCATAATAATATAAGAATCTCATTACCTTGGTATAGCCTGGAAAATATCGCACGGAACACAATACGTCATTGTGTCGTATGCATATAAATACAATATCATAGAATACACTCTTGTATATTTTTATCGCATTGTAAATACGGTACTGCGCGGAATATAATAATTTTTTTTTTCCTCCTCGACGTACGCACGGAAAACCGATTGGATTAGAATTGTTATTCGTCACCGAAAGAAAAATCCGATCCGTAACGCGTCACGCGAGATACGAGTGCGCGCGTATTATGCGAACAGCGGACATTCCGTACGATATTATTTATCGCCGCGACACACGTACGCGTACATTACCCGCGTACGGTTCGCCGTGATATTACCGGGCAGGTGTGCGTGCGGATCGGTCTGCGAGCGACGGCGATGTCCGGCACGGCGGGCGTTGCGGTGCACGGCCGGGCGCGGACATTATCGTCGTTTTTGCGGGAACGCATTGTGACGCGCCGCGCTGCGTTTTGGCCGGCCAGAGACGACAGACGGAATCAGGCGAAGGCGTGATGCGATATCGAACGTTATCGTTACAATAATATTACGATACGATAATATCGTACTGTTTTATCGTGCGGTGCGGTATGGAAACCGTCGCGGGACACACCGCCCGTGCGTAACGTAGCGAACAACCGCGAGGGGAACCCCTACAGCCGCGCAGGGGAACGCGCGTGACGCGTGTTTGAGCATTTGAAATTGAATTACTATGCCGGGAGGGTCGAAAAACGATTCTGAATAAATTTCTAGTTAAACATAACGTTTTGAAATGACACGATTTTCATAAAAATTCGAACTTTAAAAGTTTAAACGCTTAAAAAAAATGATTACATTACAATCGGGGTTTTTTTTTTTTTTTTTAAACCACTTGTAACATTTATGATGAACATCGACGTGCTGAAATAATCATTAATGAGCCCGAAAATTACCAGAAAGTATTAAACATTTCACCTCGTCCAGAAAGGTTTAATATAATATTATAAGTAATGCACCGACTAGACAACATTTCATTTTGATAAGATGTTACATTCAGTGTTTATTTCAGGGAGGTGACCGAGGGGGTATCACCCTCTCACAGAAAAATCTATGCAACCCCCTGATAATGTATGATTTAACTTAATATGTAAACTACATGTGATATGAGCTATGGGCTGATTATGAATCATCTTGTTGACAATAAAATAAAAAAAATATCGTGTTACAAAAATAACCGTATTTCAACGAACCACAAAAAAAAAGAGCGTATTTTTCTAAATTTTTCCCCGGGTTTAAAAATCTCTAGGTCACCCTCTGCTTTTGGCATACCTCCTTGAAAATTCACGATGCTCCCCGGAGACGAAGTTCTAAAATAAACACCGGTTACAGTCGACGACCGAAGCGAAGTTTCTGGCTTAAACAGAGAAAAAGCACGTCATAGTAAAACCAATCGTGAATTCCTCGCTGCGCTTAAAATCTAAAACGAAATAAATGGATAGGTTAGTATTATAACATTAAAACGGAATTATGATAAAAATATAAATTTATATGCGAAATTTAGCGCACTAACCGAAAACGAAAACCTGCGCAAGGTCGATTTCACCGTATACGCAGGCACACTTACAGACTTAACATTTCCCGACATTTTCCACGGGAACCCGCGCGGGCGATCGATTCTGTGAACCGTCGTTCTCAAACCGATCATTGTTTTGTTATTTGTTTTTATTTTTTTCTAATGTCGTGTAATCGATTCGTGCCCGCGAAAACTGACGCGTCAACGTTCTCTCGGGTCGCCTATGTTTTTAATTTCCTTGCACGATTCTCTCGGAATATTATTGAGTTTGTACACCCGAACAGACGCCCGGTCGCCGACCGGCTAAATACCCGCTATCCGCACTTATTCCGCTGTATTATCCTCGGCATGACGATCAACGGTTCTACCGTCGGCGTTTTTACGGGGGAAAAAAAATAACGTCGACCGCCTATAATATTACGGTGATCGGCGATAAATGTTCACCCGGGGATCTATCGGCCAACGGATAACCGTCGAAAACGCGCGCCATTCGGCCGCCGGCGTTACACTTCGGCAAGATCCCATTGTCGGATTCGTGAACAGAGGTGTTTCGACGCTAGGCGCAGGTAGGTACGCGTTTACAGTCCGACACTGCGTACGCGCTGCACTGTTCGTAAACGTATTTGCCGGTTTTCTATTATTTCGGACGGAAACAAATTGAAACGAAAACACAATATGCGACCACACATATCATATTACGTGTCCATAGAAATCGGCTGTACGCGGGATTACAAAAAGCGTCACGTGCGAAATCGTTTTGACGCGATGACTATAAATATTTACAAAACAGTTCTTTTTACACACGCAGTGTTTGACGCACGTAGGATAAGTTACTTACCATTATTATATTAATATCTTTCAGCCGCTTTTCAAGACGCACGCTATTGAGAATCATTATTTCAATCTCCTTTCGATTTGTCCCTCTGTTTCCCGCCACACGTGACCGAAGACGTGCGCGCGTATTAGGTACACAATACGGGTACCAGATATCAATAATACAACCATTATAGGTACGAGTACGTGTAAATATATACAAACTACACCAAACACAAAAAAATCTAAAATATTACAATCGTAAACCTCGGAGCGGAAAAAAAAAATGTGTTATTATTTTCGCGGTATCGGAAAAGGTTGTTGCGCCAAAATTCTAAAATTACCTAACTCCGATTCGCATTAAAAGCTATATCGGATTCGCTCGATTGTTCCGCTCGAATAAGGCGAGTTTTTTTTTTTTTTTTTGTAAATTATGCCGTCAAAAAGCGCATTTTTATACGGAAAAAAACGGAGTTATCTGTAGACCGTTGCACCTAGGTCTTCAAATTATCATATTGTCGGTAAGTATTCATATTTTACACCGAATTATTAATACCTGTAAATGGTACTGTTGAAATGTATAATAACGCGCACAGAGAATCAATTACGCAAATTATACGGAGCGAATTTGGTGAAAGGTAATTTTTTATATTTTTTTTTTTTCTGATAATAACTTAATGTGTCCGATAGAGTACGATAATTTTCCTATAACGTTACCGTAATGTACATCATGGCTAGGTATATAATTATTATCACGAGATACTGAAAAAAAAATTTGCAAAAAAATACTCGCCACCATAAAAAAAAAAAAAAAACAATAAAAATAATATGTCTAGTACGTGTTAGGTCGTGTGTATATAATTTAATTTTTTTTTTTTTTTTTAATGCACATTATGGTTTTTCATTTTTGAAGCTATGCGTGTTTAATGACGGTGATAAATCGTGTATGCAATTTTCAATGGCGCTGCAGCTGTTAGTTTAATACAAACTACACTTAAACGCGTCACTGCAGAGCGTGTGTGTGAAAAAGAAAATCTAACCAGAAGAGACGGCACTTTCGCGCGTTTGGAACGGATAAAGCGTTGATTTGACGGGGAGCCCGCGTTCCCGCAACGCGAATTGGTTAGGGTAGGCTAAATAAGGTGTAAGGTTATTGGGTCGGGTGTACTAAATGTTCGAATCTGTTCGACGACGTTGTCGTCGCGTACCTTTCATCCTGCCCAGTTTGTCGAGGAACAACAGCAGCTTGCGTTGCACGCACGGAAACGACAGCTGCATCAGACAGTCGGTGTAGATGTCGACCAGATGCGCGCTCGGATCGGTCCCGGTCTCGTCCTGTTTCTCCTGCAGGGCATTGGTGGCCGCGGCCGTCGCGGAGTCTGACGAGCCCATCGAGAAGCTCAGGAACCTCGAGTCCCGGCTGTCGTCGGTACCCTCGTCGCCGCTGCTGTTGAACACCGTTATGGTCGGCGGTGACAATGGAGGTGGCGGCGCCTCCGCGGTCGTGGGGCCCGTGGTCGCGGCCGTACCGTCGGCAATGGAAGCTGACGAAGAGTTGTTCGAGTCCGGCACGACAACGTTGGCGGACACGCACCACGTCGCCGCGGTCAGCAACAGTGACACCGTGTAAAACGACGCCATATTAGTTTTAAAATAAAACGGTTCGACAGAAAAATTAAAAAAATAACCAATGTGACCGAAGACGACCGCGACGGAAAAAACCAAATCGACTACCGAACGCGAACGCTACCGGTGCAGAAGAACTACGACGAACGCGGGTTCAAGACGTTTTATACGACCGTCGTCGTACACCTTCCAGGTGTATTGTACTAGGCCCGTGGCCGCTAACTCCCCTTCCAGGCGCCACCCGCGCGCCTGCCCCTCCGGCGAGCGGTCTTGCCGGCGGCTGTACGAGAGAAAATCGGATTTTCCGCCGGCGACGACGGCGGAACGTATTGTACCACAAGACACGCGTAGTACTGTTATAACAGTGTACAGTAACAGGATTTCAATGTCCCGAAAAATATCAAAATATAGCCCAAAGCTCTCTGAAAAAAAATCTATTTTCACCGCGCATTAACATGACCTAAAAGTGGAATAATAGTAACAAGTTTAAAAATAAAATATACAGTAAAAACGTTTGAATTTCCATGATTCTGTTAATTAAGTGAATCGAATTACCTATATATGATGTGCACGGAATGCGTCGTTTTAGAGCACCCGTACCTTGAAAAAACACAGTTTTCATTGTAATGTGGGTTCCAATTATTGTACACAATACCGGAATTGGTTGACTTTTTTAGATTATGTGCAGAGCGAGGAACGTATTCGTTTTACTATGATGTTTATTTATATTTTTCCTATGAACAACATTTCTACCAGCAATTTTGCTCCCAATTACAATGATAGTACCCTTTTTGAAAAGAAATCGGACTGTGGAGGTAATTTTTTGATTTTCCCTGGAGTTTTCATTAAAAATGAGAAAAACTGAAGAATTAACGAAAATAATGCTTCTATTATTTTCAATTTTGTTTTTTTATTGTAATTAAGTGGAAAATATTCGTAGAGACTTGAAATTTTGACAAAAACTTTATATTTGCTATTTAGAGATGTGGTAAAATGTTCAAAACATTTGAGTCATTTTTGAGCTATAATACTGTGAATAAAATTGTTAGGCCATACGGAAATGCTTGACAATACAGAAATGCTTGGCAATTTAACAGTAGATTTATTATGAACTGTACTTAGTGGTCAACGAGAAAAATTTGAGTTTAATGTAAATTTTTTTTTTATAAGAATTTGAACATCAAATTTTGTCAAAAATCGTATATTACGGTCTTTTAATAAACGTATAATAAATAACATAAATAACGGACACCGCTCATAATGGTTTTTCGTCAACAAAGTGTAATCGTTTCGTACAGATATACATTCAACTTTTTCTCTACCTTCCAAACTTCTCTCCTAAAACAGTGGCGTCCCACTATGCGAAGTATGTCAGTCTTTTTAAAATTACATATCATTTTCGGGTAACTTGTAAAGCTCTTTGTAAGCTTGTCTTAAATAACAACTGCTAACCCTACAACAGTAATATAACTTGAATTATTCACATGAGCTTCGTGGTATTGTTACGTTGGTATTTGTTAGCATTTAAAACGGTTTTAAGTTCACCGTCTACGCCAATTGTAGTACTACGATTAGTATACAATGTACTAACATTACACTACATGAATGATACAATTAACTATGATCATATAACTGACAGACATTAAAAATCCTGGCGATAAACCGTGAATAAAAACAGAGTAACCAAATTTTTTTATCTGAATAATAAATTGATATAATACCGTCAATACGATTACGAGTTTTGGTGCCTTACTGTCATTATAAATTTCAGTAAAAATTACAAACTTTAATTCATACTACCAGCGATGGTGACGATTGCATACTCTTATTTCAGTGCAACTTACACACCCCATTTTTCAAACACAAAACGAGTTGATAAAACCTGATGGTACTTATCACATCTGTTGTAGATTCTGAACAAATCGAGCGACGAATTGGTTTTACAAACCAGTGTTATCTATCTATGACAGTGTTTGTCATGGATAAATGCCGGAAAACGAAGTATCTCAACTTATTTTTCAGAAATTTTAGCAAATCTCTACTATTTGTTCAAATTAATACATAGGACGGTTCACATTGTCGCTTTTTTAATTTTTCAATTCGAACACTGATCTCTGATTAATTTGTTCCTAATGAAAAGCCCAAACTCCAAAACTCATTCAGAACTTTCCCACAGTATCTTAAAACATTTAAATTTTTCACCCGACGGTACTTTTTTTGAAACATTTTTTGTTTAGATTCCCTACATTAAAAAAAATTAACACAATATGATGACGATACGCCGTTTTTGGGCTAGCATGACAAAATTATTTTTTTTTTTCACGTCTATACATATTTTTCGTGTTATTGGTAAATAGGAAATTATAATATATTATTCTTCTATAATAAGCGCTTAGCCCGTACAAGTATTGACAGTGAATTGTTGCTTTTGAGACGAACTAAATGACCACCCGCGCGAAAGTAGGCTGCTCTGAGTACGTCCGAAAAAACGCAACGCAAGTGTTTACACAAAGCGTTCAGCGATCCATGATTTTCAACAGCCTTTGGTCGGCGATTTCGTCGATTTCGGCCACTCGTCGCCGATTATTCATTATGCTTCTTCGGTGCACACCTAATAATAATTATTATTATAAACGGACATTCACTATGATAGGTCATCCGATTGACGTTTACCCGCGCGATCGGTGTTTTACGGAATTAATCACTGCCGCCATATAATGCGAAGTACATGATCAAAATATATTGACCGGTGCAGGTACCCAACCGAGCGTGGATATTAGACAAAAAAAAATCTATGTATTTTAGCACAGAGTTAATGGACGTGAACAGTAAAAAAAAAAAAATTAATACCATAAAAAAAGAACATTAGGTATTTAATTTTTTTAAACATTATATTATTAGAAAAAAAGTTATTTAAATTTTCAAATATAATTATTAATTATGTAAAGTATATAATTATAATAATAACTCAATATTTTCTATGTATGTGTTTGTATATGCGTGTGAGTGTAATTTTACCAACGTGTAAAATAATAATCATCCTATTGTCCCAAAGACTTTATTCGCCGGTATAAAATTAAATTATCTATTCATAACGAAAAAAAATTTTTTATGGCTACCCGCGTGTCGAACACACGACACGCGTACGATGACGATGACGACAAGATGATATTGACGAACAGGTCAAAATATGTGACCGAGTGACACCGCAGGAGTTCACTGCGAAGAAAAATCTCGCGAACGAAAAACGTCTGTAATAGATCGTTACTTATGCATTTAAGTTTTTTCAAACGTTCGAAAAAACAATATTATGATGGTTTTTGTTTTTGTTTTTTTATGAACTCCCACAATACGATTTCCCATAGGAGTATCTTATTCCCTATGTTTTTTTTCCGTCACATGTCAGTGATTTACAAATTATTACTATATAATATTGTATCGTTTCAATTTGACTGTCGTCTTACAGTATTAAAGAAGTATTGTTGAAATGGTCGATTCCGGTAACTCTATAATTCGGTGGCGCAATTATGTCCATTTTTTGTTGGGTGAGAGGGGGTGATGTGAACATTTGTTAAAAATATCAAGATAAAATCGTAAAATCATATATATTAATCACAAAATTAAATTGAAACTATATTATTTACCGACCAATGGATTCTCTTTTTTTGGAACGGGGATATTTTCACTACTTACCTAGATAAAAGCCTCTAAATATAAATATGGGACACTAAATAACAGACACTTTCTCCCTCAGAATAGTGGACACCTCAGAATAACGGACAAAACTTCAGTGACCAAATTTGAATGTCCAGTATTTAGAGGTTTCACTGTATTGATATTTTAATACCTTTCGTTTTGTATTTTTTTATAACAAATTACTGCAAAAAGGGGAAAAATACATTGGTTCTAGACTTGTTTGAGGGTGATGTATCACCCACATCACTCCCCTTGAATACGCTACTGCTATAGTTCAATATAACGTCTGAAAATATATAGAATTCGAGCCCAACAGTTTTTAGATAATATATTTAAGTATTAATTTGAATGTTATAGATAGCGCTCGAGATAGTTCAGGGACGGCTATGAGCTTCTAACGAATTATTATATCTCGTGTTGGTATTAAATTTGTGGTTAGTGTAGTAGATAATTTACCTACATCAGTTATACTGTGATGAATTCATTTTCTTAGAAAAAAAAAAACCTTTCGCTTAGTAAAATAACAATATATCGGTTTTATGTTCGTTAATTTCTGAGTGACTTATGTTACAATGGGTGGAAAAAGTTATTTGTACAATAACTTTATCCGAAGTTAACCGAATTTCATTGAGAATCGATTTTCAATTGCAATGACTTCTCGTTATTTTCGGTGTACAAACTAATATTATACTGTATTCTGTATGTATATGTTACCAACTTTCCACGTACAACAGTGGCCTTATCTCACGGCACTACCAATATTTTTAATCATTAAAATACGGACTTGAAATAATTTTATTGGCTAGTACCTACTACAGTTCGTACGACTTGCAGATCTTTCACTTTTACATTAAACCCGTATAAATAAAACAAAATAGAAACACCATTGGACTATTGCAGTTATATTATTAAGGTATGACATTGGCGTTATTATAATGATATAATTTTTAGCGTCATTATAATATTCTCGATATTTTATTTACTTTTTAAAGAATAATATAAACATAATATATAGCTGATTATTGCTGCAATATAGTGAAAACCGTACAGAAAATGAATGCTGTTATTAGTTCTGGTCGAATAAAGGAAAAATTTCACTGCAGCCTAATTAATTATTCGGATAGTGTAAAGCAAAGTTGGACATTTTTTCAGGTAATTACTAAAAATGTACCGTTTAATAATTATTTGTACATAATTTTAAATTATAAATTAATACTTTTACATTTTATAGATGGCATAATTACCGTATGACTGAATAAACAAATTACGGGACGTTTTCTATTTTTTTTCCAGATTCTATGCGAAATGAAGACCTATTAAATTGTAGTGTATGGATTTCTTCTTATACAAAAATAATTTTTTTAATAATAAGTAAATAACATAATTGAATCATCGTCAGTACGTAAACACGGACCAGAATTATTTTTGGA